ACACGTAACCATACGACAAACAATGTAATATTATCTTGCTAATAACCAACTCACTCTTTCTTTCATGGTTCTGTGCGTGTTCTGATGCTTATCACCATGGACTGGAAGACTGGCTGTGTATGATTGTTGTGTGTGATAGTATGTAAGTCTTGTATGGTTGATGTAGTGCTTCGCCGTGTCTACTGGAAAAGCAACATTCGTACCGCTGTGTTATGACTGACTGGTTCATTAATCTGTTAAAGCAAAGTGTGTTTAGAAGGATATGGGTGATTTCTATCGGTTCGTTGAATGAATTTGGTTGCAAATGCAACTGTTTTTCGACCAATGACAAATCACTGTAAAGTTATATTGAAAATTAACTATCCCACTCAATGAAACCTCGGGTTTGGGTACATAATCAAATTTTAATATTAATACTGACATTCATAATAGACCTCGTTGGCCGAGTGGTCGCAAGTGCGACTGCCGGGCAAGGGGTCTCGGGTTCGATTCCCGGGTCGGGCGAACTATTACTGGGTTTTTTAAAAAAATCTCAGTAGTAGCACGGAGTCTGGAATTGTGCCCGGTATATGGCAATAGGCTTACATGCATTACATGGGACTCATAACATAAATAGTGAAAAGTGAGTGTTACATTGTACAGTAGCATAATGTGCACCTCTGCCCACCCCTTTGGGGATAAAAGGCGTCATGTTATGATGATGTTATAACATCATAATACTATAACATTTTATAATGATTCCGATTTTAATAATTACAAAATTGATGGTTGTTGTCATAATATCATTTCCATACTCTAAAAAACTTCAGAAGAATGTTTATATTAAGCTAATCAACATAACGAGTAGCAATTATGCAACTAAACTCGATTTCAATGTTCATTATTTAAATTAAAATATGCGGAGCAGACGAATTTTGTGGACATTGGAATATCGATATTAGTCTAATTTATATTTGTGTGTTTTGTTGATTTTGATTTTTTTTGCATTGGCAACACACGCATTCGCGTATGCATATTAGGTACCTACTGAAAAGTGTAAGTTTCTAAATAACGATCTAAGATTATTCTACATTATTTTCTAAATATTGAAACTGAAACCACTGAAGGCTCCTCGTCACTATCAGTAGCACTAGACGAATAATACAAAAGTTAGTGAAACGGCCCTAAAAGCCCATTACTTGAACAATAATTCACACAACATCTTACCCAGACAAACATCCTTCAAGATACATCTAAGAAAAAACTCGAATCTACGCGACAAAAATTACACAAGCAACAATAACCCTTAAAACAAATACCACAACCGCCAAATTCCCTCGAACCTCACCTAATGATGATGTATCACCTATCTTTGATATCAGAAAGCGACTGCGATTCTGGACAGAGAATAATAAAGCTTGAGGTTAGACAAATAGGGTTTATAATCAATTGTTTGCTTGAACTAGTTGGTCAGTACTGTGGTGAGTACGGAACCAGTTTTTAATATACATTCCAGTGCAAACGAATAGAACGGTACATAATATGTGTACTTGTGTCTGTGGTACAGGGTCTAGGGGGCTAGTTTTTGTACAAGGACGATATGTGGTCACTGGTCAGTATAGCTTTTGAAGTTGCCAATTCCATCCTATTCCCTTAACCCTTTGAGTACCGTCATTATAGACATAATTAAAGAAAATAGGTTGCGGTCACCGGTGTCCTCGCGGTATTTGACAGTTTAAGGTAGGCAAAAAAAAGGTGCCTTTATATTGGCTTAGATTTCGCAAGTGATGAGTTATATGTTACGTGTGAATAAATGTAGTTATTTTCATATAGTTTTAGGCTTGGTGTTTTTGTTATTATGTTCTTAAAAAAACTATTCTATTTCCGATACCCCTCTCGCTAGAACACTGGGTAGTAACCTGGTCATTTTATTCGATTTGAAGTGCTCAAAATAGATGCGACGTCTAAAATTCCCGGTTAAAAGAAACTATGTAAAATATATTATTTTCTGCTGCCTCGTTGGCCGAGTGGTCGCAAGTGCGACTGCCGGGCAAGGGGTCTTGGTTTCGATTCCTGGGTTGGGCAAATTATTACTGGGATTTTATAGATTCTCAGTGGTAGCACGGAGTCTGGAATTGTGCCCGGTATATGGCAATAGGCTCACCCCCTATTACATGGAACTCATAACATAAATAGTGAAAAGTGGGTGTTACATTGTACAGTGGCATTAAATGCCGTAATGTGCACCTCTGCCTACCCACATAACATCACGCCTTTTATCTCCGAAGGGGTTTTTTATATTATTTTCTTCCGAAGTTATATTATTTTCTTCCAAATTCTTCTCATAGCTTAAACATCATAATAGTAAGTACTACCTAGTAAACGACAACACTTAAAATACTTGACACATACTTAAAACGGTACCACGGTACATATTCATACAAATTGTAGCAAAATGGTTTCGTCGTCAAGTTATTATTACGGGATTATGTATTACATGCTTTGTATAATTCTATTTAAAGCATAGACATCATGTTGTGTTACATATGTGTCACTTACCGCTATGTGATGGTAGAATAGAATATATTTGGTCATCACCCTTCTCCTCCAGTGGGTATCGATATGAGGACACAGGTACAAGTCGATTATGGGACTAAATGTTCGATAGAAACTGAGACAGACTCTAATAAACATGAAACTTTCAAACTGCGATCTCAATGTCTTCTGTCAACCGTGGAGGTATGACAAACCCCTCTTATTTAGAGGAGGGTCATTGTCCAGCTTTGAATAAAAAAATATATTAAAACAGAAATGCAGACCGCTTCAATTATGTACTTTCTTTAATCAATAATAAATTATTTCGACTGTTCAATACAATAAAATATTAAAAAATAATCACACTTTCATTAATTTTTTTCATGACCAACTTAATTTTAGTATGTTTACAGTAATTTGAAAAAAAAATAAGTTTGACTGTTTGACGCTAAAAAAACGTAACGTCACAATTCATAATCTCGTACAAAATTCACAGAACACTGTCGTTTTTGACAGTTCGAAAAAAGTATTCAATTTGACTAGTTGCCAAATACCGTACCTATTCACATAGATTTTATTGGTGTGGGTGCCTGCCCATCCTATTTCAAAAACTACTTTCATTCATACCAAAGTACACACAAAATAACCTAACTCGCTCTCGTATTCAAATCCCACAGCCCACATTTACGTTTACAACCGAGGGTCGATGGTCCAAAAATGTCCTTCGCGAAGAACTCAAAAATACCTGGTATTTTCACAACGAAAGTGGTGCATGGAGGCACATTTTTCATTTTTACGGCTTTACCCTTACTTGCTACTTTCTTACCGGCATAGTAAATAAGTTACCTGCCCCTTGGGGTACTGTTGATCATCGTTGGATGGTTGGAGGGTTACTTCTGATTCCGCGGTAATTCCACCTTTTTGGGGGTGTGCTTAAAGTTACATTTGCGTTGGTTAGTGGTTGGTACTTATTTATTTAGTTGGATAAGTTATGTGGTTAGAGAAATCACGTCTGTTGTGCACAAATGGTGAAGAATTGTTCTGGTCATACATTTTTTTCATGGTTATAACATAACATCATGTCATTGAAGAAAATGAGCTTGAGCTGCAATCTTATAACAGCTGTTACATAAGACCCTTAGTCTTAGAAGGCTTGTCGTATTATTGTCTATTTCAATTAATTTCTGATATATGAAATAGTTTTCAAACACGCCAACCGAATAAGTCAAGTTTAATTTATTCAAACCAATAATCAATATAAATGAGTAGATTAAAGAATATAGACATTCACACATAAATTGAATGCAGATTTATCTAAATGCACACCTAATGCGTAGGTAGCAAAGCATAAATCATGAATGCATCGCCTCGCAATACAAACGTTCTTATGAGTTCCTCAATATATTCAGTCAGTCAGTCAGTCACAATGGTTGACTCACTCGGGAGGCGTTCGATTGCCAACCGAATATTAATTGCACCATCGCATCGTTTTGCCACGCGAATCGTTTCATTCGATTTCAATGCACGCGGCCTCAGACTGTTTTGATGAAATTGTTTTACGATATTTATGGAAATTGAAGAGTGAAGTTGGTATTATGTTTCTTGGTCTTAGTCTTCGTGGTAAATTTGACTTGTATTGCTTTAAATTGTACATTTTAGTGAAGGTTATCTTATCTACCGAAAAATATGAGGCACACTAGAAAACCCATTGGGCCTCGCGTATATCCGGTATATCATGGGTTAATCAATCACATATTATTTTCTCAGTATGATAACGTCCTTTATATTTACCAATTTAAACCAAATAGTTATACAAAGACCACAAAACCAGTAATAATAAATTTAACATTTTTTAACAGCCATTTAATAAATTTCAAACGCAGATTAGTGTTACAAAATTATTGATATTTATTTATACTCAAATCATATTACCGAAGCATAGCCTTCTATGTCCCCCAGACAACGTGTCCAGTGTTAAAGATTAGTATAAAACGGCTTAATGAAGTAGGTAAGCTCTTAATCCAATCTATGGGACGTTGTGAGGCTGCATTAGCGTAGCGAGTCAGCACTTTTAAAGGTGTTTACACATTGGATGAGGCGAGATTGTCGCGCGGTTACTGGTGCCGCGCCGGCTTCACATTGATAATAATTTATAATGCTAATGCGATGACCTTATTAAAGTTGAATTATAACATATTATTAAAAACTCCTAACAATTTAAGTAGGTACTTATAGGCAAAACCAAACAATGTTTTTCAACCCTTAAAAACGTGCGTCATTTTTTATTAATTTGACAATCGTATGTCATGATAATTAACCAAATGCCAAGATTTACTGTTAAAAGCCAGATGAAAATTAAAGCCTTGAGCTTTTATACCTCACTGACACTGACATCTTATGGAAGTTCGTTAGACTAAGGCCTGTAAAAATATATTTCTTCATGAACCTATTTTATAATTTATGAATTGTTATGTTCTTGTTCACAGTATCGGACATCGGGCACAATATAATCCAGGATGCGTTCCTCATTGCCGTGGAGGAGCAGGCGCGGCAGCGCTTGCAGCGGCTCTCAGCCCTCAAGCGGATCACGCCTGTTGACATGTCCAAACTCTCTGTAGAGGTAAGCTATATTTTAATTACACAGGTGTATGTATAACTTAACTCACTTGAACCAGGGCCTTTAGCCAAACGCCACTTTGGCGCTTCTCTATAGAGAGAGTAGAAATCAAAATGTATGGGGATGACACTGACAAGTGTCAAAATTTACGTCAAATCCATATAATTTGGTTTTCTATTCTAAATGTAGATAAGCGCTAAATGGCATTTGGCTACAGCTGCAGGTCCTTTAACTGTTTGAATGCACCGATATGAGACACAATAGAAATTACATTGTGTCTCGCGGGGATCCACGTTTAGACACATGACGGATTGACCTGCCTAACAACTCCTTACAAATATTATAAATCTGAAAGTGAGTTTGTTTGTTTGTTCTGCATTCACGCCGTAACTACTGAACCGATTGCTTTGAAATTTTGCAGACGTAAAGTTAGAAGTCCAGATTAAATAATAGGGTACTTTTTATCCCGGAAAAATGTGATATTCCCGAGGGAAAACGAAAATATTAGTATAGATGGCGCTGTGTGTATTCGTATAGATGGAGCTGTATGCCTGAATTACCTACTAATATCAAATATTTAAGTAATCAAGTTTCATTATGTACGAGACAAACACGTGGTCTTTATAAAATCTACTCATCTAGTCTATTCAAAATGATAATGAAGATGTTCTAATAGCTAGAATAATCATAAACAAATCACGTTTCACAACGTGACATGTCCAAACTGTCAACAGTCATAACTTTAACTATATACAAGGATTATGTATCTAAATATGTTGTGCTAATGCATCTTGTTTACTACTTAATTATAAGTTAGAACATACTTGACTGAATGTTCAATGTTTACAATGGGCGTTGATGATCGCGCGATAAATGCGTTGGTAGTATGAACGCGCGTGTTACAGTGTGTGCGTACCTTAAGTATTGAAATAGGGGGATGGGTTTGCCACATTTGGATGTTTTGAATAGATACTGTATTTTTAAAGTCACAGAATTTTCAAAACCAAAGTTTTGAAAATTCTGTCCAAAAATACGTTTTATAATAAATACCGTAGTTTCTAAGCAACCATGTTTTTTTTGTATATAT